TTTAATCCCATAATTCCAGCACTCAGTAGGCAGAGGCAAGTGGATCTCTGTGAGTTCGATGCCAGCCTGGTCTATAAGAGCTAGTTCAAGGAAAGGCTCTAAAACTACAATGAAACCCAGTCTCGAAAATAAAAAAAAAAAGGAAGAGAAATAAATGAAGCCTGAAGAAATTGATTTAGCCCAGGAATTCAAGACCAAACTGGGCAAGATTAAGTAATGCCTTGTCTCAAAACAAAACAAAAAACAGATATACATACAACCCAACACAAAAAAATCTAAACTTCATTTTTTTAAGATTTCATTTTTTTATTTTTAGATTTATTTTATGCATAAGTGTGTTTTGCCTGCATGTATCCACGTGCATTCCTGGTGTCCTTAAATGTCAGAAAGATCATCGGATCTCCTGAAGCTAAAGTGTGGGTGCTGTGCACTGAATTTGAGTCATCTCTCTAGCCCCTCATTTTTATTTCATGAGTATGTATATATTGCATGTATGTCTATGTGCCAGAGGAGGCCTGAAGAAGGTATTGGAACTCCCATAACTGCAGTTACAAATGGTTAGAAGCCATCATAAGGGTGCTGCAAATCAAACTGAGGTCTTCTGGAAGAACAGCTGAGCTATCGCTCCAGCCCCTCACTTTTATTTTTAAATGATATGTTATGTAGGTGTTGGATGTGTGCATGAGCACAGGTGCCTGCACAGGTCAGAAGAGGGCATTGGATCATCCCCCTGCGGCTGGAGTTAGGTACTGTGAACCATCTAACATGGGTGTTAGAAACTGAACTTCAGGTCCTTTGCAAGAGCAGTAAGTGGTCTAACCATTAGGGCCATCTCTCCCACCCCAGGTTTTGTTTGTTTTCTGTTTTCGTTTGGTTTTTAACAAGATCTCACAACATAGCCCTGGCTGGCTTTGAATTTGCTATTTAGACCGGGAAGACCTACAACTCAGAGAAATTAGCTAGCCTCTGCCTTCCCAGGGTTGGGATTAAAGGGTGGGCCACCAGGCCTGTCCCCACTTTTTTTTTTTTTTAAACTCCTACACTTGTAACATAGTATCACTTCATGGAAGCTAGCTTTTTCTTGAAAGTCCCACTTAGAATTGTAACAGGCTAAAATACACTCTGGGACCTACCCTCAGAACTAGCTGCTTAGAAACTGTCTTAAGGCTACCTACTATATACCTTTTCTTCATACTCAGAATATAATACTTCAGTAGATGCTATTTTAACTGTGTTTCCCTATAGCTAAGTACTGACTGCCTTTGATGTCATAGGGCAAGGTTCACAATTAGGTATGTCCAGCTACTTATCACACAGGGTTGACAAATCTGATTTTTTTTTCCCTGCAGAGGGTTGCTTTTGATAAGCTATTTCTAAATGTGTAGAAATGAAGAATTGGCTCAGTCATTTCCTTTTTATGCCTAGGGTACAGGCCACTGATTTTTAAAATCTCATCAGTTGATTTAAACCTTAAGTTTTGTTTTTAATAGTGCTGGGGACCAGTCCAAGTCCTCATGTGTGTGTATTACCATTGAGCCAAAATCCCAGCCTTTAAGAAGATTAAACTACTTAAATTTCACTGTTATTACATGCTAGAGTAGTCTAAGGTTTTGGCATTGCTCCAAGTCTGCTGTGGAGTCAGATCACATGACACTGGATTTAGACTCTACACTTAATTTGCTCATTTAATATCTACTAAAAACCTGTGTGCCAAGTGGTTTTCAGTGTACAATATTGTATACATTTTGTAATATTTTATGCTATTTGAGGATGCATTTTAAAGGTCAGACTCCGGGATTGGGGAGATGGTTCAGCAGATAAAAGTGCTTAAGTCTGTGACCTCAGTTTGGATCCCCAAACTCAAGCAAAAACTGCACGCAGCGCTGGAGAGATGACTCAGTGGTGTGGTTAAGAGTATGTGCCACCTCTCCCTGTGTTCTCACCCGGTGTACACGCGGGCTTTGCCTCTCTCCTCCCCTCTTTCTCCCTCCTTCTCCTTCTCCCCCCCTCCCTTTTTTTCTTTCTCTCCTTGTTAATAAATTCTTATATGGCTAAAAAAAAAAAAAAAAAAAAAAAGTATGTGCCAGGAGCTGAATTCCAGTCCAGCGCTCATATCAGGTGGCTCGCCACCTGGAACTCTCCATGAGTCTGGCCTCTCAGTGCACAAGTACTCAGTTAAATATGTGTATGGATACATACACATAATCAAATAATTTTAAAATAAATTTAAAAATAAATAAAATAATTTAAAAATAAAAATAAAAAATAAATCAAAATTAAATTTAAAAATAAATTAAATTTTAAAATAATTTAAAAAAATGCTGGACACCTTGGCACATGTCTGTAATTCCAGCATTTCCATTGTGAGGTACAAGGCAGAGACAAGTCAATCTCCCTTAAAGCTCAAGGGCCTACTCACTTGGAGTACATAGACACACAAAAGACACAGAGACAAACAAAAAGAGGTCCTTCCTAAACAAGGTAGAAACACCCAAGGTTGTCCTCTAAACTCTTCACAAGCACCATGGCACACGCACTGGCCTCAGATGCAAATATATACAGAAGAATAAGTAAATATTAAGCCAATAAAGGTGCCTGGAAAAATGGCTCACCGGTTAAGAACACTTGCTATTCCTGTAGAGGACCAGGGTTTGAATCCACAGGTCAGTTCACAACAGTCTGTAACTCCAGATCTAGAGCATCCTACACAGCCCTTTCTGGCCTCTGTGGCACCATGCACACACTTGGTACCCAGACGTACATGCAAGTAAAATGCCCATACACATAAAATAATTTTAAAAAACAATAACAAAAACCTGTCTTTGTTGTGGAAAGTTATTTTAAGGTGTGCTATATTTGTTTATGCTATGGGACATTTGTTTAAGGATGTAAAGATGTGCTGCTTTTGTTTAGGCTGAATTTGTTTAACTCTGAAGCTGTGATTCTTTGCCTGTCTAAAACACCTGATGGTCTAATAAAGAGCTGAGCGGCCAATAGCGAGGCAGGAAAAAGGATAGGCGGGGCTGGCAGGCAGTGGAGATAAATAGGGGGAGACCTCTAGGAGGAAGGAGGAGCAAGTTAGAACAAGGAAAGGAGGATACCAGAGGCCCAGCTAGCTACACAGCAAGACAGGGCATAAGAAGGGAAGATTACAGAAGTAAGAAAAGGAAAAAATACCCAGAGGCAAAAGGTAGACAGGAATAATTTTTTAAAAAGCTGGCTAGAAACAAGCCAAGCAAAGACCAGGAGTATAAGTAATAATAAGCCTCCGTGTGGGATTTATTTGGGAGCTGGGTGGCAGACCCCCAAAAAGAGCCCAAAAGAGACAGTAAAATTAAAAAAAAAAAAACCCAAAGAGTAAATAAAAGATTTTAAAAAAAAAATCTGGGCTGGAGAGATGGCTCAGTGGTTAAGAGCACTGCCTGGAAAAAAAAAAAAGAATAAGAGTCGGGCAGTGGCGGCGCAAGCCTTTAATCCCAGCACTCTGGAGGCAGAGGCAGGCGGATCTCTGTGAGTTCGAGACCAGCCTGGTCTACAAGAGCTAGTTCCAGGACAGGAACCAAAGCCACAGAGAAACCCTGTCTCGAAAACCCCCCCCCCCAAAAAAAAAAGCATTGCCTGCTCTTCCAAAGTTCAATTCCCGGGAACCACATGGTGGCTCACAACCATCTGTAAAGAGGTCTGGCGCCCTCTTCCGGCCTGCAGACAAGCACACAGACAGAATATTGTATACATAATAAATATTTAAAAAAAATCCAGCAACACGTCTTGATAAAGAGTGAGACGTAGAATTGCATTCAACCTGATAAAAGATCTCCTGTCTCCCAAATCACAATTCATTACCCACGGTTCTGCCGTCTTTATCTCAAAGTTCCCTTATCTATCTTTCGATTTCCTCGGGAAGCGGCTGGTCACCCTGGTAACCACGCCTGCAATTTCTACACTGAACTCTGGTTTTGTCCACTCTTTTTCCTCTTGTGCTGTTCTTTTATATTTGAAAAAACAGCCTCCTTTTCTCTCCCCTTCTGTAACTAACTGGTTAGGTGGTGGGATTAGGTTTGGTCTGAGGTATTTCCTATCCACAGAACACCACATGGATGTCTAGATTTTCAATTAAAGTACAGTGCAAGAAATCCCTGCCCTGGAATGAGACCTCTACAAAGTCCAGTGAGTTGTGTGTGGTAGCCCATGCCTTTAATCACAGAACTTGGGGGACAGAGGCAGATACATGTTGCTTGAGGCCAGCAGTAGGAGGGGGGAACCTCAACATAGTGGGCCCGAGGCTGTGGAGGAAACTTTATTGGGACTTTTTTCCCTTCCCTGTAACATTAGAGTTTGAAATTTAAAAAAAAAAGATCCCTTTCTGATCTCTATAGTTTTAAAAGATTTTAGAATACAAATCATTCACATATTGTGATACCTCCGTTTTGTGCTCTGCATATACTTTAGTCAGTTGCTTAAATATTCATTCATTATGAGACTCTCACTTCTGCTCCAAAATAGCATCTCCACTCTGGAACTTCCAAATCTCTATCCACTGACTCAATCCTTGATCAGGATCCAAATCTCTCAATACCTTTGGGGTTTTTTGTTTTTGTTTCTTCATTAATCACCAAGGGCCCCAATGAGAAACTTCAGCATTCACAGGAGATTCAGAGAATTCATCTTACTGCTGTTGGTTTCAAAATAAAATGAATCAAACACAAATCCAAAAGCGTATCATGACAGAAATAAAATCTGCTGAATTTAACCGTTTAGAATCATACTCTGGAAAGACCAAAAGAGTAGATTTGATATTAAACAGACTTCCCCTTTTCAGCCTTGACAGTGGTACTGGAGGAATACCCTTCTGGTTTAAGATGGGACTTCTCAACTAACTGCATCTGGGCAAAATGCTTCTAAAGTGGTAGGAAAACAAATACCTCTTCTTACCAAGGGAGAGAAAATAGAATTGATGGTATTTCAAAAGAGAAAATTCTTCATAGTTTCCCATTTTTAATTTGTATTACATTTTTTGATCAACGTAGAGCCCTCTTCCTAGAACTTGCTTTGCAATGAGCTCAGCCACCATTCTTCACCCTGGCAATGAAGCTGTGCTCATGGCGTAGATGCTCCACCTTCCTCAACTCCAGTCAGCCTCCATCATTGCAAACAGTTGGCTAAGCCTTTTCTTCATGTCAGGCTCACGTGGAACCTGACAGGATTTTGTGTGTACTCTGATGTGCTCGGCCAGTTTGGATTTATAAATGAAACCTTTCCCACAGTCTTCACAGGCAAAGGGCCTCTCAGGCCTGTGGATGCGCTGGTGCCTGAGCATGTGACCCTTTTCCCGGAAGTTTTTATCACACTCAGGGCAGTGGAAAGGTCTCTCGCCTGTGTGCAGGCCCTGGTGGCTGAGCAGCTGAGCTTTCAGTCGGAAACTCTTGTCACACTTGGGACACTGAAAAGGCTTCTCTCCTGTGTGTGTCCTCATGTGCTCCACTAGTTTAGACTGTTTGGCAAAGCCCTTCCCACACTGGCAGGAGAATGGCATCCGCCCGCTGTGCAGCAGCTGGTGTGCCTTCATGTCAGCCTTCACACGATAGCTCTTGCCACACTCCGGGCACTGGAAGGGTCTCTCTCCTGTGTGCAGACGCTGATGGCTAAGCAGCTGCCCCTTTAGGCGAAAGCTCCTGTCACACTCTAGACACTGGAAGGGCCTCTCTCCACTGTGGACACGGAAGTGCTCTGTGAGCTTAGACTGTCTGGTAAAGCCCTTGCCACACTCCCCACAAGAGAACGGCCTCTCCTTGCTGTGGGTGCGCTGGTGGGCCTTCAGCATGCCCTTCAGGCGGAAGCTCTTGTGGCACTTGGGACACTGAAAGGGCCTCTCTCCGCTGTGCACTCTGAGATGCTCACGGAGCTTGCACTGATGGGCGAAGGCTTGGCCACACTCACTGCAGGAGAATGGCCTTTCTCCACCAGGTTGCAGTTGGTGGGCTCTCGACCTGCTCTTCAGACAGAAGCATAACTCACACTGAACGGGCTCTTCCTCTGGGTGAAGCTGCTGCTGCTTCAGCAACCGCCCCTTTTGGCTGAAGCTTCTTCCGCCTTGGGCACACCAGAAAGATCTCTCCCCACTGAGGTCCCGGGTATGTTCTGTGAGTTTGCAATGTTTGCTGAAGCCCTGACTACACTTTCTACAGGAGGATGGTCTTTCCCCACTATGCACACCCCGGTGGACATTCTGCAGGTCTCTCAGGCAGAGGCACTCACTGCTCTCTGAACACTGAAAGGAATTTTCTCCCATCTGTGCCCTGCAGAGGCCAGCCTGGGTAGACCGTGAGAGGAAGCAACCACCACATTCTGTACATGAGCAGGGTTTGGCCTCACCCAGGCTGCAGCCACACTGCAGGACCTTCAGCTTGCTATCCTTGTGGCAGCAGCCCTCATAGTCCAGGCTGGGACCTGGCTTCTGTCTTGAGGGCACAATGGGGTCTTCCCTCCAGGAGGCTGGCCTCTCTTGGCTCTGCTGGCATTGGTGGACATTGCTATCCATTGGGAAGCTCTTGTCACATTTGGGGAGCTTGAGATGATGGCTGAAAAGGGTATGCTCATGATGGAAGAACACTTTGCTTGTGGGGCGCTGAGGTGGCCTCTTTCTTGTATGGGCATCTGGATGCCTCACCGAATATTGCTTCAGGCAGAAGCTCTTCCCACATTCAGGACATGAGAAGTTGCATGGCGGCTGTGCATCAGTTTGCCTGCTGAACTCCTTCCAGACCCTGCATGGTGGGGTCTTGGGGTGACCCTTCTGAAGCATCACTAAGTGATTCTTCTCCCAAGAGTTTTCCCCACAGACAGGACAAGAGTGTTGGGTGCTCTGCCAAGAGGGGACTCTTTGCAAGTCAGGGGGATCCAGAGTTCTGTGACTCAAGAGTCCTTCTCTTTGGGCAGCCTCTTTGGAACAGTGCACTGTTGAAACTAGAGCCCCAAGGTTGTGGGTTCGTGCATTTGCAAGGCTGATGCCTTGGTTATGCCTAAGGGAAGCATCTTCTTTTTCTCCTAAAACAAGCCCAAAGGAAGGCTGACTCTCAAGAGGATTTAACTGGAAACGGCACGTGATTTCTCTTGACTTCACAGCTTGCTGGCTACCTGGGAATGAAAACAAAAATTCTGTAAATCTTTTGTCTGTGCATCTATGTCTTTCACCAGTAAAGTGATATATAAAAGAGTTGAATCTTCTACAGTGGTTGGGGCATCCTGCCCCGACTAGAGTATAAAACATGATATGTGGTTCTACTTCATGACCAAAATGAGTCTGGCTGCAGACACTAAACAGAGCAGATCATGCTTTGAGAAAAGTGAAAGACGAAAGCAGAAGTCTCAGAGGTAGGGTCTAGGGCCTGCAAACTGACTGCATCCTACCTATGACTCCCATGGCCCACTGTGCAGACCTTGTCAAGCTAATGGCTGCTGGTTCTGGGTTCTTTACTCTGTTAAAAACAGGGAAATATGGCAGAAGAGACAGGTGGTTTAAAAGTACTGACTGCTCTTGTAGAGGATCCAAGTTCTCTTTTCAGCATCGACCTGATGGTTCCAATTCTAGGGAATTCAACTCCATCTTCTGGCCTCCGTAGGTACTGCATGCACACAAGATTACACAGGCGTACAAACCATATACACAAATAATAAAATATTACTTTCTTTTTGAAACAGGGTCTATCTATATAACCCAGGATGGCCTGGAACTTGCTATGTAGTACAGGCTGGATTCAAATTCAGAGAGATCTGCCTGTCTTTGCTTCTCAAGTGCTAGAATTAAAGGCATGCACCATCATGCCTGGCCTAATAAAATAAAAACAAGAAAACACATATACATAAAATACATAAATAAATAAATCTAAAGGGCTGGAAAGATGGCACAGTGGTTAAGAGCACTGGCTGCTTTTCTAGAGGTCCTCAGTTCAATTCCCAGCACCCACATGGGGACTCACAACTATCTATAGTCCTGATGCAGACAAAACATTCATATACATAAAATACGTAAATAAAAAACAGGAAAACAAAAGTGCATAAAGAGGGTTGTGATGAGTCAATATGGTGCCTGCCATACTGTATCTTCCATAACCACTGCAACTGCAGGAACATCAAGTGTCTTAGAATCACAATGTCACAATGTGATAGCAATAAGATCCTAACAGCCCCAACAAGATGTATGTTATCTATCTGGAAATATCTATAAGGGTGATCTCTGAGAGATTTAAGGAAGGAAGGCTCACCCTGAGTATGGATAGCACATGATGGCGTGGGGTCCCAGACTGAATAAAATGAAGAGAAAGAAAGGGCTGAGCACAAGCACTCGCCTGTCTGTTTCCTGACTGTGAGTACAATGTGATGACTGTGGAACAATGTGATGACTGTGGAACAATGTGATGACTGTGGGTACAATGTGATGACTGTGGAACAATGTGATGACTGTGGAACAATGTGATGACTGTGGGTACAATGTGATCACTGTGGAACAATGTGATGACTGCGGAACAATGTGATGACTGTGGAACAATGTGATGACTGTGGAACAATGTGATGACTGTGGAACAATGTGATGACTGTGGAACAATGTGATGACTGTGGAACAATGTGATGACTGTGCAACAATGTGATGACTGTGCAACAATGTGATGACTGTGGGTACAATGTGATGACTGTGGGTACAATGGGACGACTGTGGAACAATGTGATGACTGTGGGTACAATGTGATGACTGTGGAACAATGTGATGACTGTGGAACAATGTGATGACTGTGGAACAATGTGATGACTGTGGAACAATGTGATGGGCCACCGAACATTCTTCCCCCCAGATGATAGACTTGACTATATCCCCACAAACCCTGATTCAAAATAAACATTCCTTAACTTGCTTCTTGTATGGAATTTGGTCACAACAATGAGAAAGGTAACAAATACAGAAACTGACACTGAGGGTTGGGGCCACTGCTGTGATAAATCTGACCACGAGGTTCTTAGGCCCTTAGTCCTAGTTTGTGGGAGGAATGTGGAAGAGAATGAAGCCTTAGAATGACATAAGCAGAGCTCAGAAGGCCATTCCGCTGGGAACTGGGTAAACCAGAACACCTAGAGAAATGTGGTCCGCACTGTTGTAAACATGGCCAAGAGGGGCCAGGCTCTATCTCAAGTTGGCAATAGAACATGGCAGTGTGGTTCATGTGGTACTGGGTTTTGCCAGATGAACGATGTAAGAATAAAGAGGCGATGAAGGCTTGCACCACACTTCTAGAAAGCTACTAAGGTCAGGCAATGCGTGGCAGGGTCAGATTTCCTGCGAGGAGTTTCTGAGAGGTCACCATGTGAAGCTAGGAAGGTAAAGCCTATGTTGTAGTGTAGACCCAAGAATGTTAAAGACGCCAGAACTCTGGAAGATTGCTGGAACAAGCTGGAGCTGGCCCAAGAGAGAGTTCATATGTACTATATGGACAGAGCTAGAGAGATGGAGCTGCCCGAGGCTAGTAGAGCCCAAATAATTCTATCATAAGCCCCAGGTGATAGACATGGAGCTGTAGGATTTAGTGTTTTCCCTGCTGGGTATGGGTCTTGCTATGACCCCATTCTTCATTTTTGGAATAGTAATTATTACAGTGTGCCATGGTATATTGGTAGTAACTAACTTCTCTTTCGATATTAAGGGGCTCACAGCTGAAAGACTGCTTCGGCGACAGAGGGAAAGTCACTCTTGGCTGTTCTTTCCCATCCACTGGCGAGGATAGCTTCCATTGATGATGGCGCCAGAGCTGTACACATTACTGCTCTCCAGCACTTACTGTAGGTTCTTGGATTTGCTTCATCTTATACACCAGGAGTTTAAATACTGCTAACTTGCCCAAAGTCACTGTGGTGGTTTGAATGAAAATGGCCCCACAGACTCATGTTTTAGTAGGGGGTCCTCAGTTGGTAGGACTGTTTGGAAGGATTAGGAGGTGTGGCCTTGTTGGAGGAGGTGTGTCACTGGGGGTGGGCTTTGAGGTTTCAAAAGCCCATGCCATTCCAGGTTGGCTTTCTCTGCCTCTGCTTGTGGATGAGATGTGAGTTCTCAGTTACTGCTCCAGGGCCATGCCTGCCTGCTTGCTACCATGCTCCCTGCCACGATGGCCATGGAGTCTAACCCTCTGCAACCATCAGCCACCAATTAAATGCCTTCTTTTATTAGTTGTCTTTGCCATGGTGTTTTGTCACAACAATAGAAAAGTGACTAAGACAGTCGCCTACAGAAGGAGAGATCAGACTCAGGCTTTGGAGTTCACGGGCCTAACCACTGTGCTCTACTGCCTTTCTCTAAAATATTTGCAACGTCAGGCTCAGGTCAGCCAAACAGGAAGAGATCAGAGAGGGAAAAACAAGACACCGGAATGTGATATGTTTAGGTTAAGACCATGGTTTTTTATTTGTCTTTTTTGAGATAGGGTCTCACGTAGTTCAGACTAGATTTGAACTCATGATGCTGATTAGGATAACTTTGAGCTCCTACCCTCTGCTTGCAGAGATTATACTATACAACTCCATTTTAGACACTAGGTTTTTGTTTGTTTGTTTGTTTTGTTTTGAAACAGGGTTTCTCTGTCTAACAGCCCTGGCTGTTCTGGAATGAGCTCTTATAGACCAGACTGGCCTCGAACTCACAGAGATCCACTTGAATCTGCCTCCTGAATGCTGGGATTAAAGGCTTGCAGCACCGCCACCCGGCAGACACTAGGTTCTCAATACTCACTCTCCATAACCAGGCGAGAGTGCATGCCATCTACAGGGAGCGGATGGATCCCTTTCTCTGGCTTCTGTTCTTCTCCCCAGCTGCCAAAGAACTCTCTTCCAAGTTCAATCCAGGATATCAGTTCTGGTTTCGGAAGTCCACAGTCTGTACGGAGAAGTCAGACAGGCTAGTTTGGCTCGAGTGCTATAAAGCACATCATCTCAATTTCTCAAAATCTACTTCTGGAACAATACACAAACTGTCGACAAACAGACTCACTGACAGCCAGCACTTCTGGTTTATCTGGACATGTTATACCAATCAAATCATTTTTCATAGTCCCCACATATCTGATGTTATTTTTAACTAAAAAACAAACAGAAAATGCTTTATTATCATTTTAATTATTATGTCTCACTATGTAGATCAGGCTGCCCTCAAACTCACAGAGATCTATCTATCTGCTCTTCCAGAAGACCTGGGTTCAGATCTCAGGACCCAGACAGCAGTTCACAACTGTCTAGAGCTCCAGAGACGATAACCTACAAACACATAAAATTAAAAAAAAGAATATCATAGACGCTGACATTCATTAAAGTGAGCTGCTATATAATTGTGTGTGTCAACTTTGCCACATGTCTCCAAATTGGTTTTCAAAATGGCTGTGGCGATTTACCACCTCAGTTGCTACACATGTGGTCCTGTCAGACATTTTCCATCTCTAACGCAGGCTTGGTATCTACTGCATCACCTTCCATCTTAAAAAGAAAAAACCCTGGGGGCTGGAGAGATGGCTCAGCGGTTAAGAGCATTGCCTGCTCTTCCAACTTCCAAAGATCCTGAGTTCAATTCCCGGCAACCACATGGTGGCTTACAACCATCTGTAATGAGGTCTGGTGCTCTCTTCTGGCCTGCAGGCATACATGTAGAAAGAATATTGTATACATAATAAATAAATAAATATTTCAAACAAAAAAAAAAGAAAAAACCCTGCTTGGTTGCTCTTGGCCCTTTCTTTTGAGCGTCTTATGATCAGCTTACAGACTATGAGAAGCCATTCTTAAATTTTGAGTGGAATTGCTTTGAATATATAGATTATTTTGAAGCAAGCTTGCAGAGCCATAAAGGTTCATATAACTGACTGTAAAATGAAAAGATGGATAACTTGAGGGAATAAATAAAAGCATGAGAAAAGGAGGAAGCACTTAAAAATCAAAATCATAGCAGCACATTGCCTAATAGTGATGCAAATTAAAAAAACATGATTTTTAATAACCGAAGAGGGAGATAAAAAGTCCATTGGAGGGGGCTGGAGAGATGGCTCAGTGGTTGAGAGCATTGCCTGCTCTTCCAAAGGTCCTGAGTTCAATTCCCGGCGGCCACATGGTGGCTCACAACCATCTCCCCACAGATGGACATGCACACAGACAGAGTATTGTGTACATAATAAATAAATAAATAAATAAATATTTAAAAAAAAAAGTCCATTGGAACTGGAATTTGAGGGGGGGGCATGTTTGGCAGTGGCCCGGGACTGACAACGTAGATTATATTTCTTTCTCTATCAGTTCAATTGCTTTGACTAGTTCTTGTATAAAATAAAAATAATGTCATGGGTTACATGTTTTAGGAAAAATCCACAGATATAGTCTGGAAACTTAAATATGATAAAAGAATATAAGTTTCAGAAACTTAATAAGATGAAAGCAGATGCGACTGTCGTGTATGCAGGAGATGAAGAAGAGAATGTCGAAGGGATTACCTAATCTTTATACCCTGGGAGAGTCAAGTGATAGAAAGTTAACAGACCATGCGTATTTTATCATCATTCCTCAGAAGCCTGAGAGACAGAAAGGGCACTGATCCAGACGGGAGGGGATGTGGAGAGGAACTGGGGGGAGTAGAAGGAGGAAAACTGTAATCAGGATATATGTGAAAAAAGAATCTACCATCAATAAAAGGAAAAAGAGAAATTTAACAATGCATTAAACTTAATCTCTCTAAATCTTCTTAAAATTAATCTAGGGGCTAGAGACATAGCTCAGAAGTTAAGGGCACTTGCTGCTCTTCCAGAGGAAGGTGCTGCATTCACATGGCAATCTACACCATCTGTAATCCCAGTTCTAGGGGATCTAATGCCTTTTTCTTGCCTCATGTACACCACATGCACGGGTACACAGATACACATGCCGGCAAAACACTTATACACATAGAACAAAGATAATAAAATTAAAATTATTCTGGAAAAATAAAGTTAATAGGAAACAATCTAGACATTTAAATATATTATTTTAAATTATAAAACTGTCCAATAGACACACATAAAAAAACATAAAAAACACTATCAAAAACTAGGAAGGTAAAAAAAGTAAAAGAGAGATGGCATAAGTAAGACAATACTTTTCTTTTTTTAATATTTATTTATTTATTATATATACAATATTCTGTCTGTGTGTATGCCTAAAGGCCAGAACAGGGCACCAGGCCTCATTACAGATGGTTGTGAGCCACCATGTGGTTGCTGGGAATTGAACTCAGGACCTTTGGAAGAGCAGGCAATGCTCTTGACCACTGAGCCATCTCTCCAGCCCAAGACATACCTTTTCAAATTAATTGATCAAGCTACTTAATTAATTAAGCTACTACTAAACTTAATACATCAAGAAATGAGTGTTACCATATTTAGTTCAAAGAAAACTGCTTTACCAATGAAAACAGAAACGGTTAAAGTGCCTGCCTTGGAGCTGGAACAACGTCTCAGTGGTTAAGAGCACTGATTGCTCTTCCAGAGGACAGCAGTTCAACTTCCAGAACCGAATGGTGGTTCACAGTGACTCCCCCTCCAGAGACTGCAACACCCTCTTCTTGCCTCCTTAGGCACCAGGCGTGTGTGGGGATCAGACATACACGCAGCAAAAGACTTGTAGACATAAATTTAAAAAAAGAATCCAACAGGAGACTTTCATCTTTTATTTCATGCTTCTGAACAGGCTCATTTTTATGCATGACTTTGTATGTGTGCATGTTGGGGGATGCATGGCATGCATTGGAAGTCAACGGACAGTCTTGGGTATTGGTTCTCAGAACACCTTTCACTGTTGGGATAATTATTTTGTAAACTGTGTGAAGATGTATCTCTGTCCTTCCTCACCTTCAAAGGTACCTTCTGTTGGTTTAACAAAGAGTTGAATGGTCAATAACTCGGCAGGAGAGGATAGGTGGGACTTCCAGGAAGAGATAGGAACGCTGGATAAAAATCTGAGGTGGGAGATTAGTCAGCCAAACTCGAAGGAAGTTGGACAGATGGTACTGAGGAAAGGTAAGGAGCCATGAAGAATGTAGATTGATACAAATAAATTAATTTAAGTTTGAAGAACTAGTTGGGAACAAGCCTAAGCTAAGGTTAAACTTTCATAATAAATAAAAGTTTCCACGTCGTCCTTTGGAAGCTGGCAGTCCAAAGAAATACCTGTTACGTTCCACCTTTCCATCATTGGCCTGAGACCTGTTGCCATGTAGGTCAGCCTTCAATCTTCTAGGGATCCACCTTCCGCCTGGCCTCTCAATGGGATTATAAACAGGCGTGTGCCACTGCACCCGTCTTTTATGTGGGTTCTGAGGATGCAAATTCAGAGTTTCATGCTGCCAAGGCAGGTGCTTTCCCTACTGACCGACTGACTGAATCATCTCTCCAGCTCCAGACTCATTTAAAAATTTAACTGTTAAGAAAAACTAGCCAGGCATATGGTTCACGCCTTGCCCCCACCCCCAGCCCTAGCATTTCTTTGTAGCCTTTCATGTCCTGGAATTCACTTTGTAAACCAGGCTGGCCTCAGATTTACAGAGTCCACTTGCCTCTAGCTCCCACATTCTGGGATTAAAATGTGTGTACCACCATTCCCCACAAATATGTAGCCCAGGCAAACCTTGAATTTATAATCCTCCTGCTCTGCCTCTTCAGTATATCCTTCCAGCCACCACGACCGGCTGCTACCCACCTATAATCCCAGCACCCGAGGCAAGCTGATCTATATAGTGAGTCCCAGGCCAGCCTCAACTATACAGTAAGTGAGACCTTGTCTCAAAAAACTATAAAACATCAAAAACCCAAAAAACAAGAACTATAAAGGAAGTGTAAGTTTAATTCTATGGTACAGCCCTTGCCTAGCACATGCAAGGACCAGGATGTTATCTCTAGCATCACACACAGGAGGGATGATGATGATGATGGAACCAAAGAAGGAAAAATTATCCATCATCCTAACCAGAGGCAGCTACCCGTAAACACATCAGGGTGCACTCATTCAGAATCACACTACAGGGAAGACTATTAGTTTCTTGCAGTCTCTAACCCTTTTGTAATGCCGCAAGGAGGCCAGTTTCTAGGTTAAGGCACACACGTACTATGGGCATGAAGCAAGTGTGATACTCGGTAGAAAACCAAACATCTCAGTAAACTGTGATGGGAAACGTTTTAACATATGTCTTAGCTACCTGTAAGTGACATCGTTCGCTGTCTTAAATACTGTCCTGCAATGTCCGCCCCAAATAAAGATGGGTAATGTATACTTTATTATTGACAACAACAACAACGAGATAATAGGACTTTCTGGGTTAGGATCTAAGCAATCTTGCTACCTCACAAGGTAGCAAGTGACTGAGGAGCTCTCACAAGATCCAGCTGCAAGACTCACCGAGAAGTTGAAAGCTCCTTACCTAGAGAGACAAGAGTCTCATAATTGGTTCTCATAACATGCTTGTAAAGTTCCTTCTGCCATACTTCTAAATGCTGCCACTCTTGCTCAGAGAAATAAACGGCCACATCTTCAAAGGTCAGCGGTAACTGAAGCGAGAGACATTTTACAGATACAGTCATGATTGCTACAAGTGATTCCAGTTCATTCTCATTGCATATGTGAGACTTACAAAGTAGACGGCTGTTTTTGAGTCAGCAGTTACTTCCACAGAAGTGATCAGCAGAGGCAGGAGGGTCTCTGGAAGTTTAATGCCGGCTAGGTGTAGAGAGTGAGTTCCAGGACAGCCAGGGCTACAGAGTGAGACCCTGTCTCAGGATGCAGGGGAAGGTGATTTATGGGTTGGTTGGAGAGATGGCTCAGTAGTTGAGAGCACTGGATGCTCTTCCTGAAGGCCCAGGTTCAGTTCCCAGCTCCCACACAGTAGCTCACAACCATCCGTAACTCCAGTCCCAGGGAACCGAATGCCCTGTTAAGCTCTCCACAGACACTGCACACATGTTGCACAGACACACATGCAGACAAAACACCCATGCACACAAAAATAATTAAATAAGCAAAATGATTTGTTTCCTCTATCTCTGCTCTGCTCTCACTTCCACACCCATCTCATATGTGTGTATGGGATGGTATACTCTTTACAAACGTGAAGCCAAATCAGCATGAAACTTCATTCATGTAATATGTCATGGCCCTCAGACGAATACAAGGAAGTAAACTCACATTGGGGTAAACTGTGTGATTACATCATACTCCATTAATGGGCCACACACACACTGCTTCTTCCTTCTCTGTAAATATTGTGTATTTATTTAAGACAGGCTCTCATGTGCAATGTAGACTGGGATGGTCTGGATCTCACAGAGACCTACCTCCCTCTGTCTCTCCAGTGCTGGGATTAAGACATATGCCACGATGCTTGGCTTCCCCTCTGCAAACTAGACAATGCTCGGATGGGTTTCTTTAGGTATCAGCACTTTTACTTTCATAGAAGGGTATCACTAAGTCAAAGGGTATAAACAACCTGAGCTGTAAAGTGTGTGTGTGTGTGTGTGTGTGTGTGAGAGAGAGAGAGAGAGAGAGAGAGAGAGAGAGAGAGAGAGAGAGGTACTGAACCCAGGACCTTGGACATGCTAGGCAACTTCTCTACCCTTGAGTGATATCCCTAGCTCAAAATTGTTTAGTGTTTATGCTTATCATGGTTAACTAGAAAAATAGTTGCTAAGTTCATAATTAGAACTATGTAAATTATATATTTGTTAGTTGAAATATTCTGCCTATATGGCTGTAACCCTACACCTTGCTGACTTTTTAAACCTAGTTTAACTCCATTTGTTATTGGCATGTGCTTATTTTCTATGGCTATTAAATAAAGTATATATTATTTCCATTTTGGGTTTATTTTGGTGGTTTTTTTTTTTTTGAAACAGGTTTTTTCTGTATAGCCCTGGCTGTTCTGAAACTCACTCTGTAGACCAGGCTGGCCTTGAACTCACAGAGAACTGCCTGCCTCTGCCTCCCCTGGTGCTGGGATTAAAGGTGTGCACCACCACTGCTCGGTCTTATTTAAAAAAAAAAAATTTTTTTTTTTTTTTGAGACAGGGTTTCTGTAGCCTTGGTTGTTTTGGAACTTGCTCTGAAGACCAGGCTGACCTGAATTAGAGAGATCTGTCGGCCTCTGACTCCTGTGCTATCACCACTCCCTGGCAAAACCCAACATTTTAAGTTAATACAAATTACTTGTGTTACACTATTTATTTTAAAACAATAATTTTGTGCTGGGTATAGTAATAAACACCTTTAATTCCAGCACTCAGGAGGCAGAGGCAGGTGGATCTCTAGATTCCAGGCCAGTCTCATCTACAATGTGAGTTCCAGGACAGCCAGGGCTATGCTGAGAGACCCTGTGTCCAAAAAAAAAAAAAAAAAAAAACAGTAATTTGTCCTAATTGGTTAATGTATTAAGAAAAAAATGAATGAAAATTTCATATCTACTTCTGTCCAGTTTCTTCTGTGAGAAACAGTAGGTTAACGGTTCTCATTCAGCACAATTTGCCCTCCATGGGACATAGGCAAAGCCTGGAGACAGTTTTGATTATAAAATTTCAGGAGGTGTGCTACTGGCCTCTAGTGGTTATCAGCTAAGAAAACACAGCCCAGTCTCTACACAAAGAATTATCTAGTACTCTTCCTTATCAAAACATGTGTTCATACACCCTTCCTTTTCTTAATAATGCCACCAAAGTGAAAACGCAGGTATTGCTAATTCAGATTAAAAAAATGTCAAAAAATGCTGTAAAGTTAGTTGTACTTTGTTTTGTTTTCTGAGAGAAGGTCTCACTCCCCAGGTCTGACTGGCCCGAATCCTGCAGCAACCCTTTTGCTTCTGCCTCCCCTGGTCCTGCCAGGTCCAGCTCCAAAGTGTTTCTTTCCTTCAGGAGAAAAGTGAGTTTCCCACTTTCCCACCTTAAAAAATTTTCTACGCTAAAGTCGCTAAAAACCTGTAGAAAGAACGAACCTTCAACCTGTGAAGCTGTGGAAGATGATAACAACAACAACAAAAATCACGCCAGATTTTGCCTGGCTTTAAAGTTTAAACTGCAAGAGTTCCGCAGCCATAGCGCACAGCAGGTGCTTAGTGAAGACAGTGTTACAGCTCCTACTACACTCCGTTTTCGGTATCGACTGGGGGTTGGAGAACATATCCTGTGGAAGAACTATTGTGGTTTTTTTTTTTTTTTTTTTTTGCAACTGTGCTATATTACCTATTTTTAATAAACTCACAAACATCTGTCATATCGTGAAACTGAAAATGATTTATGAAAGAATATTTTACTGTTTATTTTTTCATCAACAGGAGTGGCCATCTCCCATTTATTCAAAACCCTGTTTATAAACGTGGTGCCTATCTGTTGTATACGCAATCCTGAACAACTGTACATTCGGTGAGAAAGTAAGGGCTGCTTTAAAATTACTTATCTCCGCCTTACTTAATAATCAAGAATGCTTAATAGAGCAGTTAGGACAGCATAAAAAAAAAAGCCATTTCCTCTACTCCCTGATTTCAACAAAACACAAAATAACCAAGCACACAGGTTTTACTGCCCTTTTCTACCCTGCTGGTAGTTCACACACTCTACGTGAACGCAAATGAACGCCAGTCGGAGACTAAATTACGACATGGTAAACCTGCAGGACACCACTGCAACCTTCGGAAACCCAAACCCCGATGGCGTTCGCTCTTCTCGGGGGAGAAGGCTGGGCAGCCGCTGCCGTCGGTGGCGCAGGCGAGCGCCGCGCGCGGACCCGGCTTTGTTGGGGTCCCCATGCCGCACGCGCAGCCCGCGGTCCCGCCCCCGCCCTGAGCCCGGTCCGCGCGGGGCCCTTACCGGAGCGGGTCCGGCCATGGCCAGCGCGCACACGCCTAGCCTGGGCCTCGGCCCCGGCGACGCCCACGCTCCCCAGCGACGAGGCGGGAACCCGCTCCTCCCCGACCCCAGGCCACAGCCCCCACTCGCCCCAAACCCGGCGCCAGCCCCCGCGGGGTGGATCGCGGCCGTCGCTCCGCCCCACAGCGCCCCCTGCGGGCAGGAGGAGCGGCTCGGTCAACACCCGAGCCTCGCCTGGCCACAGCCCACTTTTCTCTGCAGTGACAAAGAAAGCTGGAGAGAGATGAGGGAAGGGCATACCTCCAGAGTGGCTCTGAGACAAGATGGCCCACGAGGCCCATCTCTGCAGTGGGCTCAGGAATCAACACGGGGAGATGGAGACTAAGATTGGCAAGGAAATGGCCGGATAAAGGACCAGATTGCCACTAGGGAGAAGCGGTATACCTGGTCAGGGCCAGAAGTGCGTGTTTTTCCATCCATCTTGTTCATTCAGACTGAGAGCAGTCCACTGACCTGAGCATGGCTGGGGTTCCCTCCCTTGATGAGAGAGGCCCTAGAAAATGAAGGTAGGCTCAGGCTTCTGCTGTAGCGGACAGGTGGGCCCTAGTGAGAACAGAGAACCCACAACATCCAAGCCTTAGATTCTAAAGGAAGCGGACAAAAGTGGAGAAAGACAGAGGAAAAGGGACATGGGAGAAATGGAAACACAGGAAGACAGTGAGAAAGGGAATAAGAATGGAACACAGCCAGTATCCCCAGAGAATTAACTTCACATTGCTTCCTGGTGTGTTAGTGGTCTGGCTAAAGTATCATAAAGAAAGTGTATGGCATGGGGCAAGCAGATAGAGAAGAAAAAGAGCCCCCGAACAGTTATGGCAGCGCGCACACGCACCTGCTTGGCATGTACACGTATGTATTGCTATTCGAATGGTTTATTTTAGAAAATATCACACATGGGGTCTGGAGGTTGCCTCAGTAGGAAAACACTTGTTGCTGAAGCCTCAGTTTGATTCCAGAGACCCATGTACAGATACAAGAGAGGGGACAATTCCACAAAGTTGTACTCTGACCCCACGAGTCATCACCCTCCAGCACCTACCCTACCTGACAAAATAATAAAACAATTTAAATGTCTAGTAAAACAGATTTCCTCCCCTCCCCCCAGTGAGATAGGGTCTCACTGTGTGGCTCTGGCTGTCTTGGAGTCCCAGGGTGACCTTAAATTTAGAGACACGCCTTCCTCTGCCTCCCCACTGCTGTAACTAAAGGCATGTGCCACCACACCAAACAGTTTGTTGTGGTTATTTTGGTTTCTTGTTTGGTTTTCTTTAAAGATTTTATGGATATGGTTGTTATGCAATTATGTCTGTATACAACATGCATGCAGTGCCTTTGGAGGCCAGAAGAGGACATTGGATTCCTGGACTGCAGTTACAGCCAGGCGTGAAATGCCATGGAAGTGCTGGGAATCAAAACCACTGAGTCGCCTCTCCAGAGCTCCAGCTGTTTTTTTCAGTCTTTCCTGTAGGTGCGGTTTGCTTCCTAGTCACTTTGTGACAGAGGTGCCTTGAACTCATAATCTTCTGTCTCCACCTCTCAAATGCTGGGATTGCAGGTGCGCAACATTTTATCTGGCCTGTTTCCCTGTTTTCTGAGGGAAGAGATGGTTCGGTGGTTAAGAGTGGCTAGTCTTCCAGAGCCACGTGGTGGCTCCCATTTCCCAGAACTCACATGGTGCCTCACAAGCATATGTAATTGTAGTCACCATGGGATCCATGTTCTCTTTCGGTGAACAAAACACCAGCTGAACCATCTCACTTGTTTATTGACTGATGTCTTTCTTCTATATAGCCTGGTAAGTCTGCAACTTGTTTGTAGACCAGGCTGACCTCAACTCACAGAGATCTTTCTGCCTCTGCCTCCTGGAATTAAAAGCAGGTACAACCATGCTCCCCTCCCTTTTTTTGAGGGAGGGTCTGTCTACATAGAGATCTGCCTGCCTCTGCCTCTCAAGTGCTGGGATTAGAGGCGTGCACCACCACAGCCAGCTACTCTATTTTTTTTAAAGAGGACACCGAAATTCTTTTTTTTTTAAATATTTATATTTATTATGTACACACCAGAAGAGGGCATCAGATCTCATTACAGATGGCTGTGAGCCACCATGTGGTTGCTGGGAATCGAACTTGGGACCTCTGGAAGAGCAGTCAGTACTCTTAACCACTGAGCCATCTCTCCAACCTCTCTTTCTTTCTTTCTTTCTTTCTTTCATTCATTCTTTTTGGGGACTATCTCTATCCTTTTTCTTTTCTCTCCCAACCTTATGTATATTTTTAAACACACTGTAAACCAATTAGAATTTTTTTTTGTCTGAATCTGTCTTTGCTGTATATCACTCTCTTTTTCTGACCACATGAGTCTTTAACCAGCTAAGTGACATGGTTAGAAAGAGAGCTGTGACCCTGGTGCCTGGCTCTGCCCCATTCTTTAACTTTTTGAGAGTCTGGTGGAGGTATTGGCAGAGCCATTTTAGTTGTCCTAGAACTATGGAGTTTCTAGGTCCATGCCACCACCAAGAAACCCAGACAGGAGAGGAAGCTAAGTCTGCAGATGAGAGCTGGGAGGGGGGGGCTAGTTTTTCTCCGAACCCAAGGTGCTAGGTTTGGGTACAGCTCTGGACTGTGCCGTGGCTGAAAAGTCTCACAAAAATGGCTTTTTCATGAATTTGTACCCCAAATGTTGGATGCCAAATGTGTGTTTCTTTGGGACTGGATCAGGACGGACAGAAACTTATGTCTACAGTTTTTCTTATTACCTAATTCAAAAAAGAAACTCACAAAAGAGTTGTAAAGTATATAAGGTTCAAAGACATAAAAGCTTAAATTGTTTTGAGGTCTAAAAAGGTAGTTTTGAGTTGTTAATACAAGTCAGGAGAGAATGTGAATTAGGTACAAAATTTTGGACTCATCAAGATAAAATAGATAATAGAGTGTTTTCTTTGAATTTGCTAAATGCAAATGTATTGGACATTATAAACATAATTCTTTCCTGGTAATTGTTCATATTGTATATAGTTATACTGAATTAAAACCTTCCTTTTTTATTTAGACAAAAGGGTAAAATGTTGTAGAATATTTTGCTAGCACTCTAACACTCCAGAGACTGTCAGTAAAGCTTACCTTGAATCAGAGAGTACAGCTAGCTACTAGGTGACCAAAATTAGCCATAGAGGGTTTGGAGGACACAGGACGTATAGAGAGACACAGGAAGTAGTAGGGAGAGGCTTTTTTGAATCAAGACCTGGGAACTTTACCAGTAAACCACGAGCTTTGTGGTAAAATATAAAATAATGGAAATAGGTTAATTTAAGATATAAGAGCTAGCTAGCAATACACTTAAGTGATTGGACAAGCAGTGATTTAATTAATATAGTTTCTGAATAATTATTTTCAGTCTGGGTGGCCAGGAATAAACAAACAGTCTCTGCCAACATAGGGACAATTAGATTAGGTTGGAATTCTCCCCCTTTCACCTTAGACAGTCTTGCATAGCCTTGGTTGGCCTTCTGTGTATACCAGGTTGATCTTGAACTCACTGAGATCCACCTGCCTCCACCCCCAAGTGCTGGGGACTTAAAGGCACGTGCCACCATGCCTGGCTCAACCCTGAATTCGTCATCACTCACCTCATCCCTCTCTCACTTTTCCCACAGGTTGAATGGCTGGGTAAAAGCCAGGTATAGTGGTGCATGTCTTTAGTTCCAGCACTTTGGAAGGCAGAGGGTGGTGGATCTCTATGAGTCTGAAGATAACCTGGTCTACATAGTGAGTTCCAGGCCAACCAAGGATATATAGTGTCCTATCTCAAAACAACAACAAAATCAGAGTATTGATGAAGAGATGGCTCAGCGGCTAAGAGCAATTGCTACCTGTGGTGATTTGAATGAGAATTGCCCCCATAGGTGGTTGAATACTTGTACCTAGTTGGCAGAACTGTTTGGGAAGGGTTAGAAGAAGGATTAGGAGGTGTAGCCTTGTTATAAATAATAAAAGAATCATACATATAAAGCAAAGAGAGTGATTGGCTAGCAAGCCTTGGAACACACACCCCATTAAAGGGAGAGACCTTATTTAGGAAAGTAAGCATTGCCATGCAAGACGGGGCCAAGTATTTACTGGAGGTGTTAATTAAAAACACCCTTTGTTTTTATTTTGGAATAACTATAGATCCACAGGAAGTTACAAAGACTGTACAGAAAATATCTTCTGAACCAAGTTTCCTCCAGAGGTCACACTATATATTATGCTGTAATGTCAAAATCAGGGAGTTGATACTGGTATACTATTGTATAGAACATTTTATTTCCTTTATTTTGGTAAACAATGCTACATGGTATAGATTTATCAGTTTAAGCAACCATTCTCCTGGTGTGGAACATTTTGGCTGTTTCACATTTCCAGCTAGTACAAAAAGCAAAAACAAAACCAGAAGTGCAGTCTCTGGAGATCTTGGGTAAGCCTATGCTTTCACTTTCTGAGATGACAACCCTAGGCACAAATATGTGTTACAATGTGTAACAAATATATAGCGAACACATTACATATGTGTTACAATGTGAGTATATATTCAGGATTTTTGTTTTTTTGTTTGTTTTTCAAGACAGGGTTTCTCTGTAGCTTTGGAGCCTGTCCTGGAACTAGCTCTTGTAGACCAGGCTGGCCTCAAATTCACAAAGATCAGCCTGCCTCTGCCTCCCTAGTGCTGGGATTAAAGGCGTGTGCCACCCCCGCCCGGCTATTCAGGATTTTTTTAAGGTTTATTTTTTTATTTTATGTATATAGGTGTTTTGACTTTCTGTTTGTCTGTACACATGTCCATGAAATACCTGAAGAGTCCGGAAGTGGACACCAGATCCTCTGGAACTGCAGTTAGAAATGGTTGTTAGTACCATGTGGGTGCTGGGAACAGAACTTAAGTCCTCTGCAAAAGCAGTAAGTGCTGTTAACCACTGAGCCATTTCTCTGTGTATCATGTAAGTACAGGAGTTGGAGGCCAGAAGAGGCCATTGGATACTGTAGAACTAAAGTTACAAGTGATTGCCAACTGCCATGCAGTTCTGGGAATGGGATCCCAGTCCTGAAAGAGCAGCAAGTGCTTTTTATTGCTGAGACATCTCTCCAGCTCCATCCACAAAACATGTTTATGATAAATAATTAAATATGAGAAAAGTCTTTATTTTAATAATTCCTATCAGAGGAAGAAACATTTAACAGCTTGGTGATAGCATTATCATTTTGAACAGGCAGAGCTCAGCTGAAAGTATCTTACTTATCTGTTGTGGGTTATTGGTACACTGTGTGAAGATGCATTTGCTGTAATTGGTGTAATAAAAAGCTAGATGACTGTAGGAGGCCGTTTGTTCATCCCAGCTGCCCGGCCAGCTTAGCCCCAAAATAACCACACAGAAACTGTATTATTTAAATCACTGCTTGGCCCATTAACTCTAGCTTCTTATTGGCTAGCTCTTACATCTTAATTTAACCCCTGTCCATTAATCTGTGTATCACCATATGGCAGTGACTTAACCAGCAAAGATTCGGCATGTCTTACTCTGGCGGTGGATCCACAGCATCTCCCTGACTCTGCCTTCTTCCTCCCAGAATCCAGTTCTGTGTTCCCTGCCTACCTAAGTTCTGCCCTATCAACAGGCCAAGGCAGTTTGTTTATTAACCAATGAAAGCAACACAGACAGAAAGACCTCCTACGCCCTAGAGATGACCAATAGCTAGGAAGAGGTATGGGTGGGATTTGCAGGGAGATAAAGGAAGACGCATGAGAGACACCAGCAGACACAGAAGAAGCAGGATGGGCTCTTATGGAATAATCATGTACACTGAAAATGTGTTGCTATCATTGTTAATAAAAAGCTGATTGGTGGGATTTTCAGGGCAGGAAAGAAGAGCAGAGTCTCCAGAGTTTCGAGCAGATGTAGAAGGAAGCAAGATGAACATGCCATGTTGGAAGAAGGTACCACCACATGGCAGAGAGCAGATAAGAAATATGGGAGGTGGAAGGAGGAGGGTCAGGAGTTTAAGGTCATCCTCCACTACCTGGGCTACATACTTTAAAGGCCTGAAATAAATAAAAAGATAAGGAATCTTATTTAGTAATTCAGATGTTCATATTTAGTGTTTACAAGAGAATCTAACAATTAACCAGGAAACAAAGAACATGGAAATTACTACTCTTGTTTGGGGGGAGGGGGTGGCAGAGTCCACTGTGTAGCTCTAGATTGCTTGGAGCTTGCTATGTGGGGGCCAGACTAAACTTAAATGAACAGAAATCCTCCTGCCTCTGCCTCCCCAGCGCTAGGATTAAAGATGAGTAGCACCATATCAGGCTTTGTTCTTGTCTTTTAAGTCCAAATTTTTATATTATGAATTTTAATAATAAAATCACTAAGTAATTTTCCCAAGGCCAAGCTTTTCTTCTTTGCCTTCATCTTTGTCTTCACCTTCTTTTCATCTTATAGAAGTTAATTCTGTTAGGGCGATGTTCTGGTTCCAAAAATGGTGATTTTAGCTCTCAACCAAGTGCCATCTGACCACAGTTCATGCTCAAATTACATGTAAGGTACTTACCTTGTATGTACACTAAATAACAGAGTATGCTCAAGTAGAAGTGGTCCAAGAAGATGACCCTCATTACTTTGGGGAATTACAGACTCCTCTACTGTTTAGGGAATTGACTGGATTCATTTACTGAAATACGGGCTTGAGAAGACGTTGATTCATATGTGTTTGAAAGGAGAGGGATGTTGGAAAGTTATGGTTGTGTGATTATCTTTTTACAACACACTCTGTTAAGTACACAATTTTGTCTTCACTTGTCCCTTAGTCCAGATCCAGCAGATATAATCACAAACTTTATTTTTGTTGGTCTCAAAAGGGGCTGGTGAGATGGTTCAGCAGAGGATCTGAGTTTGGTTCCCAGCCCCCACATGGTTTCTCACAACGCATGTGGTTCCAGTTCCAAGTAATCCTTCATCCTTTTCTGGCCTCCATGGACACCACACTAGATACTCAAGTATAGGCAAACACTCACACACAAAAAATAATATATATATTAACAGTTCCACTTCTCAGCCAAGCCCAAGAGAAATAGTAATCCAAATCCACCCATCTTTGTTGCCAATGCAAGCCACATGAAGTGTGATCTTCTTCACCCATTTGTAATTTCTACGAAAGATATAACTCCACTATTCTCACCTAAGTCACTCATTTCTACAGTGGTAGTAGACTGGGTTACCGTCCAGCCTAGACGCTGCCCCGCTAGGCCTTAATCTACCTGTCATCTGTGGTGCCTTCTGGGTGGATGAGAAAACCAAGTAAGTAAGAAGGGTCTGCGTTCACCAAAACTCTCTTCCCTGAAGCTGACCTCTGGAATGGTGCGCCGGACGCAGGGGCCGCCAGGAGGCGCGCTGGCCCGGGAGGACCGACAGGAGCAGGCGCGTCTAGGCCGGAGGAACGCCCGCCGCACTCGCTGTACACGAAGCGCCAGCTGAGGGGCGGGTGCAGCCGGTGCGGCGGAGGCTGCCAGCTACTCAGCTCCTCCGCGTCGCTGCGCTCCCGGAAGCCGGATTGCCGCGCGAGTCCTGTCAGTGCGAGCAACGCGAGACCGCTTCTCGCCGCTTGCGGAGAGCACCGAGCAGCCCGGCCTGTGTGCGGCGGCGACTCCCGGGACCGGACCGGGCAGCGGAGGACCATGGCAGAGACGACCGCCGCTCCGGTAAGGGCGATGATGCGCGGGCGTCTCTGTCACCGGGGCTTTAGGGGAAGCGCGGAGGCTGGGGACCACCGCGGGCCTTGTCGCCCGCGTGGGTCTGGGGCTGTCGCCCGCCCTGAAGGGCCACCGCGGACTGCCGCGCCGGGGCACCCGGGTCTGAGGTTTCGAGCTCGAACGCGCGGTGCTGCTTCGCGTTAGCCCGCTGGACGGGGAAGTGGGCTCGAGGGGTTTCTGAAATCCGCCAGCCATCGTGTACAGCCGTGAGAGCTGTCGTTGCTAGGCGCGGCAGGACAGTCACCTGCGAGGCGACGAAGGTAAAAGCCAACGTGTGCCCTTAACAGACTGCGCGTCGACGGCCACTGTCGCGCGCCCGCCCGCCCGCCCGGACAAGGCCCTGCAGGGACCTTGGAAGGGCCGACGAGGGCGCCGGGCTTAGCCAGTCGTGCGCGCGTGCTCGTTTGCTGCAGGCCTGCAGCGGATAGAAGCCAGAGCCACCAGGGCAACCGGGACAGCCCTTGCACACAGCCATTAAGGAAGGGGGAATGGATGTTTGTCAGGGACCATTGTCCTAAAGATGATAGCAGGGACCATTGTCCTAAGGATGTTTGCAGAGAGCCCCACACCCCAACTATCTTGAGAACTATTTGTTAACGGAACCTGCCCCACATTCCAACTATCTTGAGAAGTATTTCTTAACGGAACCGCCCCACATTCCAACTATCTTGAAAACTGTTGATGGAATCACAAAAAGAATGTTTCCGCTTACACCAGGTGTGCTAACTGGTGACCTTTGCTACCCCGGCAAGGTTCCTTCCTACCCCTACCCCCCACCCCAAGCCAAATTCCTCATTCAAGGGCTATATAAGCCTCAACCCTACCCTAATAAAGGGAGACCTTGACAACAGAACTTTGCTTGGTTTCCTTTTTCTCTCCCGCCCATGATTCTTTCAGGTAGTGCCTCTTCAGACCCTGAATAACTGGACCTGCTGGACGGGTCAGTTGTTTAACAGAACGTTCTGACTGGAAAGTATTGCTTGTGTTTGCCACCCAAGAAGCCATTGGTCAGCTCAAAGAGACGTTTTAATAGGTCAGATGGCAGGCAGGTCCGCTGAGGAAGCGCTAGGAAGTAAGAGAAGGAAGAAGAAAACGGGAGCATTGGGTTTGGACGGGGAATAGAACAGAGGAGAATACCATCCCTACTCCTGGAGCTTAATTTTTTTTCCAAACCAAAAAAAAATTTTTTTAAATACTTATTTATTTATTATGCATACAATTCTGTACGTCTGCAGGCCAGAAGAGGGCACCAGACCTCATTACAGATGGTTGTGAGCCACCATGTGGTTGCTGGTAATTGAACTCAGGACCTCTGGAAGAGCAGACACTGCTCTTAACCACTGAACCATCTCTCCAGACCCCCCTCCCCGAAAAAATTTTAAAAGATAGTAGAGACCATCATGCTGAAAGCTGTGCACATACTTTCAATTCTCTAGTCGTCTTGTTTAGGAGGTAAAACCATGGCTCACACTTGGGAGTCAGAGAGGAGGATCAGAAATTTTAGGATATCCTTGGCCAAATAACCAAATTATGTGTCTTAGGAAAGAAAGAAAGAAAGAAGGAAAGAAAGAAAGAAAGAAGAAAGAAAATAGTAAAAACAGGAAATTAATTTCAGTGATATGTGTTATTTACCCTAATGCATGCAAAATTTCAACAGTATTGAATATTACAAAATTGTTAATGAGATTTTACAGCTTTTCATCCTAAGTCTTCACACCATTGTTGATTTTTTTTTTTTACCATTGTTGATTTTTATATGCAGCGTATGTCAGTTGAACTGACAACATTTCAGGTCCTCACTGATCACATGGAGCCAGTGGCTATGGTACTGACCAGGGCAAATCTGTTTTATGACAAAGAATTGGGAAATACTGATGTTTTTAATTTTGAGAAACATTTTTAGGGGCTGAAGAGATGGTTCAGCAGTTAAGAACATTTGTTGTGCTCTCAGAGGACCCTGGTTTAGGTCCAGCATTCACATGGTGGCTAACAACAATCTGTAACTCCAGTTCTAGAGTATCTGATGCCCTCTCCTGACCCCTGAGTGCATCAGGTATGCACATGGTGCCACATATATACACAGTGACACGGTACTGATATATATAAAACAAATAAACCTAAGCGATTTAAAAACATTTCTAATCTTTGAGAATAGAATGTATTTTGATCATGTTCACCCCACTCATTCTCCTAGCTTCTCCCAGGTTCACCCCCTTTCCTTTATCAGTGTCCCCCAATTTTGTACCTATGTGTCTATATGACCCATGGAGTCCAATTTGTGCTTCTCATATACTCCTTGGTGTATATTCCATCTACCAGAATGTGGTTGACCTACCAGGAGCTACACCCCTAAAAAATGGGCTTTCCCTCCCCCAGATGCCGTCAGTTATCCATAGCTCCTCAGTTATGAGGTGGGAGCTCATGAACCTCCTCTTCCCCTTCTATGCTGTAATATTGGCTAGCTTGATTTTTTTTTTTTTCCAAGCAGGTTTCTCTGTAGCTTTGGAGCCTGTCCTGGAACTAGTTCTTGTAGACCAGGCTGGTCTCGAACTCACGAGATCCGCCTGCCTCTGCCTTCTGAGTGCTGGGATTAAAGGTGTGCGCCCTGCTAGCTAGCTTGATCTTATGCAGGCAGCCACAGTAGATAAGAGTTCGTGAGTGCCGAGGTCTTGACATGTCTAGAAGACACTGTTTCGCTCCAGTCCAACCTTAGGTCTTAGGACCTTGTTGCCCTTTTTCCGCCATGGTCGCTGAGCCTTGGGGTTTGGGCAGTGGTATGGATGCCCCATTTGGTTGAGCACTTCACTGACAATTTTTTGTTTTAGTTTTGTTTTTGGTTTGGGTTTTTTGAGACAGGGTTTCTCTGCTGCTTTGGAGCCTGTCCTGGAACTCGCTCTGTAGACCAGGTTGCCCTCGAACTCACAGGGATCCACCTGTCTCTGCCTCTCGAGTGCTGGGATTAAAGGCGTCCACCACGAACGCCCAGCCTGAGAAATTTTTTACTACTATGAGTACTATTGAGTCTTTTTGAGACAGAATCTTGCTATGTAGCCCCAACTGGCCAACATATAAATCAGGCTGGCCCCAAACTCACAGAAGTATTTCTGCCCCTGCAAGTGCTAGAACCAAAGGCATTTGCCACCACACCAGCTGTTTTTTTTTTTAATGTACCTTATAAGGTAGAAGGGGTTGGTATTAAGAGTACAAGTGGAGAGATTGGCTTTAAACAAGATCAAACTCCTTCGAGAAAGAAAGGACCCATGTATTATTACTGATAGGTTTGGTGTGGGAAGAAGTATAAAGAAAAAGAGTTTAGGCCTAATTTCTTTAGTTTCCTTTTTTTTTGTTTTTTGTTTTTTGTTTTCTGAGACAAAGTTTCTCTGGATATCCCTGGCTGTCCTGGAACTCACAGAGATCCATCTGTCTCCCCTCTTCCCCCTACTTCCCAATGCTGGGATCAAAGGCATGTGCCACCGTAGTCTGACTTACTTCAGTTTTCTTAAAGTAAGACACCATGTCATCTCTGGAGTGTAAGGTGCTATGTGAATAAGTCTCTGCTCTCCCTGTGTGCTCCCTAAATCAGAAGGTAGAACATCCATCACCTAAGAATGTGCTTAAAGCACACCATCTCCATTTTCTTATCACACTTGCTGAATGAAAATATGGATTTTAACTGGATTGTCAATGACTTTGTGGGGCTGGGATCAGGATTTGGGATTAAGGTCTTGCTATTGTAGCCCTTGCTGGCTTGATACTCACTATGTAGCCCTGACTAGACTCAAACTCAGACCAATTCTCCTAACTCAGTTTCCTTAATGCAGAGGACAACATGGGGGAGTTGTGATATGGGATTCCCCTCTATATGATGTGAGTACCATTGATGAATAAAGAAACTGCCTTGGCCTGTTGATAGGGCAGAACTTAGGTAGGCGGGGAAAACTAAACTGAGTGCTGGGAGGAAAAAGGAAGAGTTAGGGAGAAGTCATGGAGCCACCGCCAGAGACAGACACAATGAAACTTTGCTGGTGATGCACAGATTAATGGAGATAGGTTAAATTAAGATTTAAGAGTTAGCCAATAAGAAGCTAGAGCTAATGGGCCAAGCAGTGCTTTAAATAATATGTTTTTTGTGTGATTATTTTGGATCTGAGCTACTAAGCTGCCGGGAACCTCCTTCAACAGAGTTGATTCTCTTCTTCCACCATTTGGGTCCCAGGAATTGAGCTCAAATAATCAGGCTTGACTGCAAGTGTCTTTATCTACTAAGCCGCCTCACTGGCCGATTGCCCAGCCTTTTCTAGTTGATTCTTTTGCACATTAGTTTGAGAGTTTGCAGAAGCCTGGAGGGCACTGGATAGTGTTGGTAGTGTCAGTGAGCATTGACCGTTGGTGTATGACAGCATCGCACATGGTTGTATGATTTACTTTTGTAGATCTCACCCGACTGCTTGTAAAAACAAGCAAAAAAAAAAAGTGAATGATTCAACTCATTCAAACTAGGAGGTCAGCTGAGCAAGTGACAGTAGTGAAATGGGGTTGAAAGGTGGCAGAAATGGTCAAGTAGGGAAAAAAGCAAAGCCATGTACAGGTGGTAGGCCAGGGCAAATGCAATCATCATAGGCTAGAGTTATTACTGATGGACTGAAGATCAATTAAATGAGACTAAGACAGTGCATGAAGTGGAAAAAGAGGGCTGTGGTCGGAGCGGTTTGTCAGGTTCAGAGAATCAGGCCTTGAGGAGGCTTAGTCCAGCCTCCTATATTTGTTGTCCAGATTTCTTCCATTTATGATACTCTGTTTCACAGTACATTCATCCTGGGAATGCAGCCCTGCAGCTCTTATTTCAACAGATGGCGCCCATTCGTGTGGATAACTGAGTCCACAGAAAGCCTGAGAAAGCTTAGAAAAGAATAGAGTAAAGCATGTTTCTTGTGGCAATTTCTTGTGTCTGCTCTGCTTGCTAGAGGCAAGCAAACGCTCTCATCTAAGAGAGGCTTCCTGACTCAGCTTTTACTGCAAAACCCTGCAGCTCATTAAGAGGTCCTGCCACGAAACACTTAAACAGTGTTCATGAAAGCTGAACGCATGCTTTTCGGTTTTCAGCCGTAGCAGGAAAAAAGCTGCGCCGTTTAAAAATGCCGGCTTTCTGGGCTGTCCTGCCAGGGCAAACTCTTGACTCTTTTACGCAGACGGTTCTTGCGGTTTGCAAGCACAGGCTGCTGAAGCTCGCTTGCTGGCAGGGACCTTGAAACGCCATAGAGTTGTGGCTATAAACATGGCTACAGCCAGTACCTCAGCCATGAGGCTGGAAAGCTAAGGAATGGGCTACATCTAGCCGGCAAAGCCACGCCTTTAGTCCTACTGAGATTGTTTGGTAAATTAAAGACTCATGTGGTCAGAAAAAGAGAGATATATAGTAAAGAAAGATTCAAAGACAAAGAAAATTTTTAAATGGTTTACAGTGTGTTAAAAATATATGCAGACTGAAAGTTGAAGTTCTTAAAGTAAAAAACAAAAAAAAAAGGAAGAGAGTTGTTGTGCGTGGTAGTACACACCTTTAATCCCAACACTTGGAAGGCAGAGGGAGATTGACCTCTGTGACTTCAAGGTATGGTAGCACATGCCTTTAATCCCAGTACCTAGAAGGCAGAGACAAACAGATCTCTGTGAGTTCAAGGTGTAGTAGTGTACACCTTTAATCCCAAATGCCTGGGAGGCAGAGACAGGCGGATCTCTGAGAGTTCAAAAACAGCCTGGTCTACAGAGTTATTCCAGGTCAAAGATATACGCTCAAAAAGCAAAAAGTTAAAAGTAAAAATAAACGAAATAGAGGTTAAAACAAAGCTGCACAAAGATGGAAAATACACAGAGACTTTTGATACTGTATGCTATTATGCTCTCTTTGAATTATTTAAATGCTGAGGAAGGAGCAACAGATGCTAAATGATATTTATTTATAAATGCTGCTGAACTAATCCAACATAGATATTTTGATGCCTTGACTTTGAAATTTGGATCTAAGGACATGATGCTTTGGAAAGGAGTTTCTTATTTTGTTTTCACAGAGGATGAGACCCTGTTCATTTCTTCTATTCCGATTTGGTATGATGGACCACGCCCTCCTGAAGGGTTGTTGTGAACATCTTCAGAAAATTGCTTCGCTCAACTGCCAACTGAGATGAAACTAGCACACAGGTTATACCGTGAAAGACCTAATTAACGACGCCCCCATTCAGCAGGAAGCAGTTTGGAGAGAAAAAACTGCGCCCATGTTCCCAAATATGGTTTATAAACGTTCTTTTACATTTAAAGGGGGATATGATATAGGTATGAATAATTTGCATTAGTATAGATTTTGCTTTATTGATAGAGATTTACGGTCAATTTTGTTATATGTATATGTATTTCTGATATTGATTAAGGCATTGTGATTATGTAGTTCATTATTAAAATGTAATGTATAATTAGGAAATATAGGTTGTTGATGGATAATCATAAATAATAGTCAAGTTTGTAGTCATGTTAGTTAATATTTTCTAGATGTGCGTAGATATATTTTAGATAGGCATTCTTCATATTTTTCAAAGATTATAGAATATGGCATTTTAAATGTTTTAATAACTTAGGGCTTTTCATGACAATGAGACACTCTGCTCCTGCTGACCAATCTACTTCAAGAGGAAGATGGGCATTGAAGAGGCTCGTTATGGAGTTTGATAGCCATTTGGGCAAGAAACTGCTCTTGCCTGGACTATTGCATAAACTGGACACAGAGAACCCACAGAGAGAGGACTACTGAACTTGCCTAAGGTGAGATGGTCTTTCGGGGTTCCTGATTCATGAAAGAGTCTGCGAGACATTCTGCAGGACACAACAGATAGTGACTGAACTGACTTTGAATTTTCCTGCTTTATGGAAATGTCTGCTGGATACCATGGGCCTGAAGGCTGAAGATGGATGCCCCAACGGTACAGAGGAACTTTGGGTGACTGTCCAGGCAGCGAGATGTCTCTGTCATTTCTAGAGTTTTTTTTTTTGGTTTTTCGAGACAGGGTTTCTTTGTAGCTTTGGAGCCTGTCCTGGAACTCCCTTGGTAGACCAGGCTGGCCTCGAACTCACAGAGATCCGCCTGTCTCTGCCTCCCAAGTGCTGGGATTACAGGCGTGCGCCACCACCGCCCGGCTCATTTCTAGAGTTTTAAAAGTTGCTTTTTTCTTGTTTGCTTAGGTAGTATTGTATCTTTCTGGAGTCTTTGATGGAGTTAAGAATAGTTAGTTATAGTTATAGTTTTCCTTAGTTATGATAAAGATTATTGTAACTTTTACTTGATAACTGTTTTGTTATATGTAATTTTGCTATGTTAAAGTTAAAGCCTTTTTTTTTTTTTTGTTTAAACCGAAAAAGGGGAAATGATGGAGGAAGGTCATTGGTTAAATAAGAAGAAACTGCTTGGCCCTCATTGGTTAGAAGATAGGTGGGAGGAGTAAACAGAACAGAACGCTGGGAGGAAGAGGAAGTGAGCTCAGACTCCACAGCTCTCCTCTCGGGAGCAGATGCCTCAGAGAGACACCGTGCTCCTGGCTCCTGGGCAGACACAGGCGATGAAGCTCCAACCCAGGATGGACATAGGCTAGAATCTTCCCGGTAAGCGCACCTAGCTGTGCTACATAGAATATTAGAAATGGGCTAGTCCAGGTGCGAGAGTTAGCCTAGAAGAGGCTAGATAGAAATGGGCCAAGCAGTGAATAAAAGAATACAGTGTCCATGTAATTATTTCGGGGCATAAGCCAAGCAGGCGGCCGGGGTGCTGGGAATGCAGCCCCACCGCTCTTATTTCAACACATTCAGTAATGAATAGCCTGTGACTTCCTTGGAAAAAAATCTAATTCTGACATTGTTACCCACCTGAAAATTCCCATCTATTTTTCCACATCTAGTTTGTCCTTTGGAGTTTTATAGTATAAGATTAAATAAACCTGTTCTACTTTCAATTTCATAACCCTTGAATATTTTAAAATAGTTGTTGTATTTTCTCTAGACTATGCATCCTCAGTCTGTCAGCTATTACTAATTGGTATAGTTGTAGTGTATAACCTCAGTGAAAGACAGAGCTAAAATATAAATTCTTAAGAGATTTGTTGTAGAGCACTGTAAAACTTGGTGAGAATTCTTTGCCTTTTCCAGAGATAGAGGGGGCAGCAGCAGCCTGAATTTCTGGACTCTTTTTTTTTTTTTTTTTTTTTTTCGAGACAGGGTTTCTCTGTAGTTTTGGAGCCTGTCCTGGCACTAGACCAGGCTGGCCTCGAACTCACAGAGATCCGCCTGCCTCTGCCTCCCGAGTGCTGTGATTAAAGGCGTGAGCCACCACCGCCCGGCTTGGACTCTTTATTAGAGAGATGGCCAGATTGGTCCTAAGAAGCGAGTTTATTTATCTTTATCACTATCTTTCCCAGTCCATCCTTGAACCCACCAAAACAGTTCCCTTGGCTTTTGATGCCTACAGGTTTCAGAGCAACAAGGTTAACAGGGAGACTTAACTTTTTTGTTTGTTTGTTTTTGTTTTTGAGTCAGGGTTTCTCTGTGTAGCTTTGGAACCTGTCCTGGTATTTGCTTTGTATCCCAGGCTGGCCTCGAACTCACAGAGATCCTCTTGCTTCTGCCTGTGGAGTGCTGATCTTAAAGGTGTGCACCACCACCACTCGGCCTAAAACTATTTTGATTAATATCAGCTGGACAGTTAAGGAACTCTTATCTGGTTGTAGTTTAGAGTCAGGAGTCCTTCTAACTCAACGTCTTGCCCCCATCTCTCCATTGCACGTAGACTTCTGAATGGGACTCGGAATGCCTTACATCTCTGCAGCCTCTTCCTCTTCCTACACCTCCAGCAACAAATGAGGCACACCTGCAGACCGCAGCCATCTCCCTGTGGACAGTGGTGGCTGCTGTGCAGGCCATAGAGAGGAAGGTGGAGGTCCACAGCCGGCGACTCCTCCACCTAGAAGGCAGGACAGGGACAGCAGAGAAGAAACTAGCCAGCTGTGAAAAGACAGTGACTGAGCTTGGGAACCAGCTGGATGGCAAGTGGGCTGTGCTGGGGACCCTGCTGCAGGAGTATGGGCTGCTTCAGCGGCGGCTGGAGAACCTGGAGAACTTGTTGAGGAACAGGAACTTCTGGATCCTGCGGCTGCCCCCAGGTATTAAAGGAGATATCCCAAAGGTAATACCCCCCTTTTAGGTTACAGCAGTCTCACTAGCTCAGACACTAGCAGTTTAAGGGTAGTCTTGGTCAGTCAGGTACTTAGATATTTTTATTTCCTCTTAAAATTTCCTAGGTTGATGGAACTCTGAAGGTACTTTACGTTTGTCTACTTGAGAACTCTACTATGTTCATATCTTCCTTGCCTTTCTTTGTTTTTGTGAGACAGTCATGTAGCCAAGACTGGCCTTGAACTGCTGATTTTCTGCCTATATCTCCCAAGTGTTAGGATTACAGTCATGGGACAACCGTGCCTCAGTACACATTTAGAGTGTCAGCCTTCCAGAGAGAAAATCCATAGTTGACTCTTTTTCCTCTTTTAATATCTTTCACTTTTCATGTATATGAGTCACTTCTCTCTTTATAAAATCATTTGCCACAATCTTAGTGAGAAAATTGAGTTCAATTTCATTGAAATCCGTTAATTTGAATTTGGTTGACAATTTTGGTGAAAAGTTAGAGGGAAGACAATGTAAGGGATTATAATCATGTGGTTCTGATAAGGGCTAGGGTCATCTGTGAGTCTAGGCTGTCATTCATGGAGCAAGCATGCTAAGATGCTAGCACTGTCTTTTGAAAGAACTAGTTATAAAACAGGAAGGAAGTTTTGATGATCACTGTTTGGCAGCGAGATGCCTAGTTTCCAGACATACTCTTTCATTTATACAATTGTTCATAGACACAGGACTTTTTAATTCTTTACAAATGATTTTTTGCGGTAGGCATGCCTTCATTCCTAGCACTCTGGAAGCAGAGATAGGAGGATCTCTGATTTTGAGGCCAGCCTGCTGTATATAATAGTTCCAGGGCAGCCAGGAATACATAGAGAGGCCTTGTCTCAAAAAAACAAAAATTTTTTTTTGGCTTACGAGTTTGATATGTAGTCCAGACCTGCTCACAACTTAGAATCTTGCTTCAACCTCTCAAGTAATGGGGTTTCAGGCATGGGGCACCATACTTGGGTTCCACAAGTATTTCTTGAATACATTTTTGTTTATTTTATATATTTTCTCAAAGAAAAAAACTAACATGTAAAACATAGCCGGGCGGTGGTGGCGCACGCCTTTAATCCCAGCACTCGGGAGGCAGAGGCAGGCGGATCTCTGTGAGTTCGAGACCAGCCTGGTCTACAAGAGCTAGTTCCAGGACAGGCTCCAAAACCACAGAGAAACCCTGTCTCAAAAAACCAAAAAAAAAAAAAAAAAAAAAAAAAACATGTAAAACATATTTAAATACTTTGATAAAAGTAAAGTCAGGTTCTTGTTAGTGTTGTTTTCATATGGGTGCCTGAGAAGGTCTCACTAAGAAAATTATATTTAGCCAGGTATAGTATCATATGCCAGCACATGGGAGCCAGAAACAGGTGATCTCTGTAAATTTGAGACCAGTCTATGGTACATAGGGAGTTCCAGGCCAGCCAGGGATATACAGTGAGGCCCTGTTTTAAGGGGTAGGAGTGCAGGGCTAGGGAGATGGCTCAGTGGTTAGGAGCACTGGCTGCTCTTCTATAAGACCACAGTTTGATTTCCACTACTCACATAGGCTTGCAAGTGTACATACATGCAGGCAAAACATCCATGGACATACATACACACACACACACACACACACACACACACACAAAATTGATATTTGAGCTGAGTGAACTTCAGGAAGAGGCCCAAGATTATGAGAAGATCTGAGGAAGAGCTTTCCAGGTAGGAAAGTCCCCAAGGCACCAAAGTAGATTTATAACACAAGAAAAGGAAAAAGGCCAGTTAGCCAGTGTGCCAGTGTGCATGCTTGACTAGAAGCACGATTGAAGAAACAGAGTGGAATAATTATTGAATTCTCATTGTTCCAGGAATTATCTGCTTTGGCATGATGACACACTATTTTAATCTTAGTACTTAGGAGGCCAAGGCAGGAGATGGAAATTTGATGTTTTGTTTGAGATATGGTCTCTCTACATAGTCTTGTCTGGCCTAGACCTCACTTTGTAGACCAGGCTGGACTTGAACTCATAGATGTCTGCCTGAACCTGCCTCTGATTCCCAAGTTCCCCAGTGCTGGCATTAAACCTCCAGAATGGAGGTTTGAAATGAGCTGGGGTACAAAATAAGACTTTATTCTTTTTATGTTTGCTTGTTTGTTTTTGAGACAGGGCTTCTCTGTGTAGCCTTAGCTGTCCAGAAACTTACTCTGTAGATCAAGCTGGCCTTGAGCTCACAGAGATCTGCCTGCCTCTGCCTCCCGAGGGCTGGGACTAAAGGCGTGCACTACCATAACTTCTCACCACCCCTGGCTCCTGCAAGACTTTATTATTAGCAAAAATAACAACAACAACAACAACAACAAAAAAGTCAACTGGCTTGGTATACTTTAACATTTTTGGAGTTCAAATTTTAAAAACTCCATAGACATTATAATATATGACTGATACTATGACCTTTAAGACCAAGGAAAGGAATTTGAGTTAGAAACCTAAGTGCAGTGAGAAGAAACTGCAGAACTTGAGTACAGGAATTATTTCTGGCTTATGCTTAGAAAAGTTATGCTGGCTGCTTTGTGGAGATTTGTCGAGGCAAGAACAGAAACAGAGTGGAAATTGTAAGAGAGCATTAATAACAAGAAAGTGGGAGTGGTTTGAGTGATGAAGCCATGGCCATGAGATGAAGAGAAGTAGATAGACACGGGAACTGCAATAGGATTTTATTTGCTGGGAATGAGGAATAACTGCCATTGTAAATTAACTGTGGGATGGTTTACTTAGAACTTAGTGTTCTGTTTTACTTATTTCAAGGCTTATAATTTTCTTAACTTGCCCAAGGTCTTATGGCTACCAACAATAAACAGCAGCATTGTATTTTTAACCTAGCTGGATCTGAAGCATATACTCTGTGGATTTACTGACTCTTAGGCTCTTAGTTTAAGAACTGAGAGATGCCTGGGTGGTGGTGATGCACACCTTTAGTCCCAGCAGAGGTAGCCAGGTCTCTGGGTTCAAGGTCAGCTTGGTCTACCGAGTGGGTTCCAGGACAGCCAGGGATACACAGAGAAACCCTATCTCAAAAAACCGAAACAGGGGGAATGAACAAGAGATGGATCACTTGTTGCTCTTACAGAGGATCTGGGTTCAGGTTCCAGTCATCTATAACTCTAGTTCTAGGTGATCCGGTGCTCTCTTCTGGCCTTTGTAGGCACCAGGCATGCACACAATACACTTAACATACATGCAGGCAAAATACTCATACAGGCACATAAAATAAAAGTAATCTTTAGGAAAAGAAAATGAACTTAGATGATAACATAGATGGTAATATTTCCTTTAAGATACTGATATGGAGAGCTCACTAGAGATGATCGCTCAGACCCTCAGACACAGTGTATAGCCAACTGAAAAGTCTTTATTCCGGCAGACTGAGACCACACTCAAGAGTTCAGGGCCCTGAGTATCCCCCTTCCCATCCTCACTTCCACTCCCATCCAGAACATAGGGGTTTTAAAGGCTGAAACCTTCTGGCTCCTTGCTCAGTAGGTACAGGGGGCTTTATAGAAGTAAGCAGTTTGTAGCTAGCAGTCTTAACAGAAGTAAGGTAAGTTGTTAGCTGGAGGGGTTCTCCACAAAGAGGCAACTAAGATGAACAGTTAGCTGGAGGGGGTTCCTTACAAACAAGCAGTTTTAACAAAGGCTAAGATAACTTCGCTAGGACACTCTGTCCTTTTGTACCTAGAATAGAGTTGAGTTGTTTTCGATGGAGGAACCTCTGTACTGGCTTGCCTCATTACAGTGCTTCACTGGGCAATGTTAGGTTCAAGAAGCTCAAGGAAGGGTGAGGAGACCTTGACAGGAGATAGTATTGTCAGTTATGCATTGGGAGAGGCGTCTCTAGAGAGAGTGGATAACAAGAGATAAGCTTCAGAGGTAGAAGGAGTCAGCAGAAAACGCCAGTAAGTTAGCAGGAAAGCAATCATAGAGTGGTGGGAACTACAGGGCTAAGGAGACTTCAAGGAGAATTGTGAGTTGTGAATTATGATACTGGGAGGTCTAGAAAGGTAAGGATAGTGAACGTGATTGGCAGTGTGGCTGTCAGAGGAAATCATGACATAATTTGCTTGACTGGCAAGATAGAGATAGAGGACTATTAGAATAGCACAGTTGTAAACAGGAAGCGAAGAAAAGAATGGTAGGAATAGAGTTCCCTTCCTCCCTCTTTCTCTCCCTTCCTCCCTCCTTTCTTTCTTTCAATATAAGTATAGAGCTATTAAAAGTAAGGACTGGAGAGCACTGACTGCGCTTCCAGAGGGCACAGTTTTTATCCCCAGCATCTACATGGAGGCTCACAACCGGTTCCAGGGAATCTGCTGTTGGCCTCCACAGCCACAAGGCACAGACATACAAGCAGGTAAAACACCTACACACATTTTTTATTTTTTATTTTATTTTTTTTTATTTTTTTTTTCTAGTTTTAGTTCTAGCTGTCGTCAGTCCTTCCCAGACCGAGGAGTGCTTAAACCGTCCACAATGGTTTTTTTTTTTTTCTCACACATTTTTTAAAAGTGAGAGCAAAAACAGAATACACTCCCAAGACTCCTCAGAAGCTGGTATTGCTTTTTCCCTTGTCTTTCCAGAGAGAATTTATTAATACTGCAACAGATGTGTATATTATATACCCACGTGCATTATGTAGAGATATATAACTTTTACATAATTGTATATAATACAGATTATTCACGTTGTTTTTGCTTTGAGTACAGTATTTTATTGTTATAAAATAATAACATCTTGGTTTATGAAATGGGGACATAACCATTACTAATTTTAGTAAACCATACAGAGTTATCCAAGGTGTCATAGTAAAGGAAATTTCAAGTTACTTTCCATGAGTGTTAGATGGAATCTTTTTTTTAAACTTTATTTTATGTGCATTAGGTTTTTGCCTGCATGTATGAGTGAGGATGCCAGATCCCCTGGAATTGGA